GTACTAATGCAAATGTACCTGGTGCATACAAGATCTGATTGGGGCTGGGGTGGTCACTGTACGACACCCAACCTTTTTGAGTGAACAATACAAATCATGTTTTATTTCTCTTCTATATAAATACAAGCTGACATTTATGTGGGAAATAGTCTTGCTTTCATGCTGTTTTATCAAATATCAGCTGACCTAGTTGGGGTTTTTCCCTTAGGCACACATTTAGCTTTTGCTGTCACATTATTATCTTTTGGATCTAGATCTAGATGCTGCACTTTTATTTTGTTTTCCACTTTGATTCTTAAAGAGAAAAAAAATGTTTTATTTCATCCTAGAGCTGATGACTTAGCAAGTGATTTTGGTCTCCAAGGAGTTCCAGTGCAGTCACTTCATGGTAACAGGGAACAGTGTGATAGAGAACAGGCTTTAGATGACTTTAAGAAAGGTATGTTTGTGCCTAAGTACTGGTGTATTTAGCCCAGGTTTTTACGGCTTGTCATGTGCAGAACTTTGTATATTTGTAAGTGCCAGGTCTTTTCAGTACCATAAAAGTGAAAAAAATTGAAGAGCTCTTCATGATAAATTTGCTTTGTTAATTTAGCAAACAAAGCAAGATTGCTCTTCAATAAAATTTGGAATGTTTAAGAGTTACATAATTTAAAGTAAGACTTATTTTATTTTTTAAATCTCCGTGGAAGTAAATATTGTGTTACTCTAGTGAACATAAGTTTAAGTGTAGAACAGTGGTGCTTTCAATGAAGCAGTTCCACTCTTAATTACGCCAGTAAGGTTTTACATTGGGGTTATGTGATCACGTGATGATAAAACAAAGAGTAGTCCTGTGATAAGGATACCAGGTGAGAATATAGTTATTGAAGCTTCTGTTCTTTTCACAGATTCTTTATATCAACTAGGCATGTCTCTTGCTTCTCCTGCACCCTGCTGTTCTACTTGTGAAACACAAATAATACTAAAATGACATTTTGAGTGCTTACTTACCACCTTGTATTTGAGGCTAGTTCAGTCTGATGTGCAACAAGCATACTTTTCCTTTATGTGTTAAGAGTAAGTGCATTATACACTAGAAAATCAATAGCTTGGAGTATATTTTCTGTTTATTCCATAAACTTCCATTCTCTCTTGGTTGTATTTTTAGGCAAAGTCAGAATACTGGTAGCTACTGACTTAGCATCCCGTGGCCTTGATGTGCATGACATTACTCATGTTTTTAACTTTGACTTCCCTCGCAACATTGAAGAATATGTTCATAGAGTAGGTCGTACTGGAAGAGCAGGGTAAGTATTTACAAGAAAATAATAATAGATTGTCAATACTTTATGCTCTGCATAAGTGCTTTCACTTTCAAATGCTAGAGCTACAGATAGTGTGGAGTGGGGGAGTGAAGAATCCATAGTTGATCAAAGTGTATTTTAGATAATAACACACTACTTCATGTTTTTGAAATTAGTTCACTGTGAAATTTAAGGCAAACGAGTTTTCCACTTTCATTGAGGGGGATGGGAATGAGGGATAGTTGAAAGCTGGTTTAAATGTGGGGAAGAATTACAGTTCAAAACAGCTTCTCTGTAGATATCGTGAAATGTCACTTTCTTGTTTGTGTCTTTGTGAGCCACTGAGTTGTCCAGTTTCCTAGTCAGCCCATTGGGGAAAAAAAAAAAATAAAAAATTAAAAGTTTTCAGCCTGTTATGATGGTGTAGTTTGTTGCTAGGATTGAATGCTGCTTTCCAAAGTTGGCACAAGTGTATTTTTTCTTCTCTGTGTGTTTATTGTAATAACTGTATTTATGTATGTCTCTTCATACTTAAATATGTTGCCTTTATGCTGGGTTCATTACCTAAAAGTCTAAATTCATTGTGCCTTTGCTCCATTTTTCAGTGAATTGCAATATTCTGATCTTGATGAAAAGTTGTTTTCTGTTACGTGTATAGTAAATACTTAAGCCAGTATCTACCAGTTGGATAACACTGCTTGTAGTACAATTTATGATTGTATAGGTCAGTAGGAAAAGCCTAGAAGCAGTTGTTTTTAAGTTCAACAGTTTATTTCATTCCTTGTTTTAGACGTACTGGGGAGGCAGTAACGCTTGTCACTAGGAATGATTGGAGAGTTGCATCTGAGCTGATTGAAATTCTGCAAAGAGCAAACCAAGTAAGAATCCATCTTACTGGGTAGGATTTACAGTAGTTCTGGTTTACCACCTGAAACAATTTGTTAAGATCTAAGCCTACTTACATCTTTCTTGGTGAGTGTCTGTAGTATCACAGGCAAAAAAAAAAAAAAAAAAGGGAACAAAAAAGTAACTACTGTAGGCACACATGGAGGATTGCAGAGGAATAATAGAATCTGGTTTATTTCACAGTATTTTGTTCCATTTACATATCACTTCTGGGCTCATGTACAAATGTTTAACATTGTAAATATTTACATCATAAGCAGCACAATTGTTTATCAGTTTATTATGTCTGACAGTTGCAATATCTACACGTACTTTTTCAAGCTCTCATTCTTACAGATACTTGTAAATAGGATGGGAAATAGGACTCAAATGTGATTTCTTCATTTATTTTAAAGATAGGTTTTTTTCTTGCTACCCTATCTAAGAAGCCAGAGACAATTATGTTGCTGTTTCGTGCTGTTAACAAGAAATAGTATTTTCCCTGATGCATGTTAAACCCCCACTTTATACTCACACTAGAATTAAAATTTTTACTTTTTTGTATCTGTGGGGATGGGGGGTTGATGAGTACAAAGCATGTTGCTTTTACCTAGGACCTGTAGATCTTAGTGTAGACACTTAATCAAACCTGAAACCCTGAGTTAAAACTTCACCTACATTTTCTGTTGTGATACTTTTTGCAAACCTAATAAGGTACTTTTGAGGGGAAAAAAGAGAGTGAGAATCCTTCCTATGGCAATGCTTTCTTTAAGTACCAGCATTTGTGTAAAACGGAATCTAAAACTCTTATTTTAAACTAACCTTGTTCTTGTGCTGCTTTCTTACCAGGTAGTTCCGAATGAGCTTGTTGCAATGGCAGAAAGATATAGAGAATTTCAAAACAGAAAAGATATTGAAAAGGATATACGAAGACCTCTGAGAAAGCCCACAAAATAACTAGTCCCTTGAAGTTACTGAAGGAAAATTATTATTGTTGGCATCCAGGGGCTGGAATGTAGAAGTTTATTTTCTTGGTTGATTGTTTTACGTAACTGTCCCATTTAAATAAAATGCATTTTTAAAAGTGGCTTAGAAAAGGAAATTGGATCAACTTTACATAGAAATAAATAGTTTTGTGCTTGGACTCTTTTCACTTAAAAAGGAATTAATTTCATTATTTTTTCTTGTGTGATGTGCTTAACTTCTAAAGCTGTTATCTACTAGTTAAAAATAAATATTGTGCATTTGGTGGGATTTTTCATTTAAATAATAGATAAGAATGTAAACAATATTTTTTCCTTTTGTTTTCAGTTAACTGGATTAGTGAAGCAGTGTTTGTCAGGATGGTTTCAAAGTACTGTATTTTTGCATTGATTTGCTGCATCTGCCAGTGGCATGCAGATGTATTTCCAAGGATAACTTAGTTATTTCAGTTACTGCAACCACACTAGTTCTTATGTTTGCTGAAACAAGGGGTTTTTTTAATTATTATTTTAAAACTTAACACTGAAAGTAATTTTTCTTTAGACTTGAGTCTCAAGGTTTTCTGGAGAGAAGTCTGAATTTCTTCCTAATGGAGGAGAGTATAACAAGAGGTCAGTTTGTGGCTGACTGAAAAATAAAAACAGCTTCTGCTCTTGTCATAATTTTTCTAACCTAAGGAAGAAAACCAGTTTACTAGAGCAATGTTTAGAAAGCCATGAAGAAGAAGTACATTTGTCAAACCAGGACATCAGGTTCTGTCACAAAGACTGCTAGTGGTAATGGGATATGTTTTCACTCTGAGGAAGTTGCATGGGAAAGAGCTATTCCTTAATTTGATGCTTTGTCTGAACTTGTGTTTACTCATGTGTCATATGAGTAAATGTAAAACTAATAAACTGAATCTAGTGAAATGAGAGTATTTTACTAAAGTTACGTTCTTAAGGTTCCCCTGGCTTTCCCTTTTTTTATTTGCTCATAATTGAGATGAAATCTGAGCCTTATTTAAGCCAGTAGGTTACTTTGCCTTGAAAAGGAAGCTAAAACTAGACTTCCCCTGGCTTCATACAGACATACATCTGACAGTATTTACTTGCAGCACAGCAGTTTCCAAATGCTGTGTATTTATCATGTGCACTATCACCTTCCTAGTAATAGAAAAGATTGTAATTACTAATTTTTCCTAACACATGCTCTTCAACATAAGAAAAATTGAGCTGAATTCCAACTGCAGGAACGTCAGATTTTATAACCTTTTACAGGGAGACTTCTTCCTTGATATGGGTTGAATATAGATATATTTCTCTCTACAAGATTCACCACACGAATGTTCATTTACACAATAACTGTTGCAGCACAGTAGATCAGTGATTACTTCCCTTCCAAAGTCCAGTGATTATTTCCAATGCAACTGAAGACTCAGAAGTTACTTGAGAAACTATATTGTTTTGACACCATATTCTCTAATCACTGCTGCTGGTCATTGTCCTCTTGCAAAAGGTCATCATCCATCATATTGATCTGGAGAGGTTCTTCTTTATCTTCATTTTAAACAAATGATGTCTGTACATTTGGAATCGTCTATACATTCGTATGATATCTTGAAGATACTTTGCAGGTGACATCTGCATTTTGTATAGGGAAGATAAGTATTACTTAAAACATCCTATTTCTTTTAATGGTTATAGCTAATCAGCGTAACTGAAATACACAGTTTTCTCTTAAGTGTTCTTGATTGCCATTTTTTGTCATACTACTGAGGAGTAACTTAAAAATACTCCTGCACCTCAGGGTGCAGGACTTATGGTTTTGCATATGCATTTCTACATGGATAGTTACTATAAATGTTTACAGTAACTCCTGAAATATTGGGAATCTGTTGTTCAATTGATATTTTATTTGTCTTGAAAGGAAATTACTGCTCGCTTTATCTTCTGGGCTGAGTAAGTTGTACTGGGGAATAAAAAAGTGTGGTAGATGAGACTTTTCCAGGCAATCCAGAAAATATGCGAGGTATTTGTGAAAGCAATGATCCAAGTCTCCTAAGCACCAGTCTGTGTCATTTGGCCATATGACACATGAGTGGAAGAAGGCAGTTTTGACATGATATGAACAGATTTTGTCCAGCTCTTTTGTGTGTTTCATTTTAAGTTGCTCTAGAAGATACTTCAGAAGCTTTAGACAACCTTTCCTGTTAAATAAATAAGAATGTATTAGGCACTTTCTAGTCAGTCCTACATATGTATTTTAGATGTTTGAATATACATTATTCATTAAGCAATGAAAATGTTCTTACTCTTTATAGAGTAATAGTTTCAATAATGTTCTGAAGAAAATCTGAAAAGAAGTGCAGCAATAGGCTTGTTAATCCTTGAAATAGGGCAGATAAAGTCAAATTCTAGCAACAAGGGATTTCTGCTTTAAGCAATAGTTTGTGCATGCACCACTTTCACTGGTAGCCACAGCAACACAGCAGTACATGGTTGGTCAGCAGTGTGTTTCCACCATATAGTCTCCCAGCAGCAGATCCTGCCAGTGTGACATGAACTTGGAGCACTCTTTAAGGCTGCCCTTTAGGCTTGGATTTACACTGAAGGAAATGTCACTACCTTCCTGTGGCACACCACAAGGGGAAGATACATATACATATATATACACACAGTTTAACACTGCTAAGGAGAGGTATAGCATGTCTGATAATACTTACAAAGCAAAACCAAAGAATTATGTATTAGTTCTCTTGAGACTTTCTTGATTCAGTTTGAGAGGTAATAAACTAAGAAGTTGGTTTGCCATTAAGAAGGTTCTGCATCTCATGTGGCTTTTCTTTCTCTTTGAAAAAATGTGGAAACCAGCTTTATTGGAGTGAAAAATCAGATTTATTCATCCTGATCCCATTTAGCAGTTCTGTTCTCACTATCATTTTAGAAATTGCCTTGGTATGAGTGTAATTTTGCTCCCAAAGCTCAGAAAGCTGAGTCATCAGATTTTTTTAAGCTGGTTCTTCAAAATAGGCCTGAGGTTGGGGAACAATTATTTAACAAGTAGCATCTTTAAGCTTTCAAAGGCAAGTCTGCAGTGTAAACCTGCAATGTAATTTGTTTCCACTTCTCACTGAAGAAGTGCAAGGCAGATGTTCAGCAAGGACCTGCAATGTTTTACTGCTGCAGAACAATGATGCCTAAAATCCTTATTCTTACTCCTTATTGTAAGTCTGAGATAAAATTCTTAAAATTTAAACCGAAATAGTGCCAGATAGTGCTAACCTGGGTCCCACAGGCTTCAAGTAAAACGTTCAAATGACATACCAACCTACAGCACTTTGGTCCATCAGATTCACAACACGTCTTTGAGCTGCCGTGGTTGTTCATCATGGCCTTCTCAATATGTGAGAAAGAGACTCGCCAGGTGTTTCCTGAGGTTGGGTACAAGATTGTTAAACTGTTACACAGCAATAAGTACCAGCATCTGTAACCAGAAAAGACACTTCATAACTGACTTAATTTTAAATAGTAGCAATTTCTTTGGACTTAAAAAATAAAACTCAGTGATTACAACTAGTTAATTCCCCAGCCACTCCACACAAAGACAATTACAGTGTTGTTAATATAGAATCAGACTGGTTCGGGTTGGAAGGGACCTTAAAGATCATCTAGTTCCAACCCCCTGTTGTGGCAGAGACACCTCCCACTAGACCAGGTTGCTCCAGGCCCCATCCAACCTGGTCTTTAACACTTCCAAGGAGGGGGCTTCCATAACCTCCATGGGCAACCTGTTCCAGTGTCTTAACCACTCTTAAGAGTTCTTCCTAATGTCTAGCCTAAATCTACCTCCTTCCAGGACACAGTTAATTGGATGCTTTAACTAGTCTTAAGGATGTTTGGATTTAAAATTAATTCTGAACTTTACTGCATTTGTTGAACATGATTTAGAGAATTACACTGCTCATAGAAATCTACTACCTTTGAATTTCTGTTCTGTATTATCAACCTTACTGCATGACCATTCTGGTTCTGAATAAAAAAATCTTCACTATTGGGTTTTAATATTTGTGTGTAAGTAATAGGCTTATGAATTTGTCTTCAGGGAAGGTGACTGTTCTACAGCATTTATTTTTGTTCTCCTGGTAATGTTTCTGGAAACAATGATGAACCTAGCTCAGCCCCCTGTTTTTAAACAGCAGCAATCATTTTTGTCTTCCTTGCATAAGTTACACTGTTTCCCTTGCCTGTTTGGTTCGTTACTCTTCGCATTTCATTTTCACAGGAGATAGACCAGTAGAACACTCATTATTTCTTTAGCATCTTTAAGATGAGCATGCTAATTTAAAAAAGAAAAAAAAAAACAGCCTAAACTGTTCTTGTGAAATCATCAGTTCTCATAATGCAATGACAATTCAGGATGTTTCTCCCAGCTCAGGTAGGCTTGGTTTGACAGGGGCCTGGAGGAAAAAATGTAGCTGTACCAGAACTCAGTAAGAAATAATGTATCCTGCTAGAAAAGTAGAGAGTTTACTTCCTGCAGAAGTACGTAACTTGTGTATATGGTCCCACATACAAGCATGTTCCCTGGCTTTTTAAATTCCTTTGTCTTACAAAACAAAGGAGTGGATGTTGCTGATAAGTACAGCACTAGCACAGGGAAGGTCCATATCCATGTGTCCAACTTAGTAGATCTAATTTAATGCTCTTAGGAATGCTTAGTATACAGTCTGGCAGAGCAGCTTTGTCTTTAGACTTCAGTACAGGACAAGCAGTGTCACAAATCTGATGTTTTAAAGAGTAGTTTTGCTTGTCTTTGATGCACACATATCCAGGATAGGATAAAGATCTGTACCTCAAAGGCTGAACACTGAACAGTGTCAAACCCTTTTAACAGCACTTGTAAGTGATCGAGTTGTAAGAAGATAGTTCATAACTTAGATGTATTGTATTTGAGGTACCTCTCAGAACCTTTTCTCTTTTGTTTTGTTTGGCTACTAAATAAAGTGATTTATTTCTGAGCTCTCCCCTGACTTTTCTTCCCAGCCATTGTTCAATTTTGAGGCCATCCTGTGTGCTGGGCGGCCAGCTCTGCTGAACTTCCAAAGTCAAGATGATGTCCACTGATATTTCTGCTGGAGGATTTTTGATCAGAAGAGTTATTGCAGGGCTTCCGGCCTTTTTCCTTTTCACAGTGACTTCCACATCTAGTAACAAAAGAAGAAATTTATTTTTATATATTAGAAGAAGCTTTTTTTAAATAATGTTTTTTACTTAAGAGGAGTTTACAACAAATCAAATGGAATATCTGGGTTCTGTCACTGGCTCTTTATCCTACAAGATACAGATTTTAAGTAAAACATTAAGGTGGCCTGTTGAGGAGTTATATAAAGTAAGAAAAGCACTTCTGCTGTGTTTGCTTGATTCACTATGTCTACAGAAGCAGAAACACAGTTGTGTTTTCCAGTGAACTTTTTCACTATTGAAAACAGACTGAAAAGATTTGTTTTTGAAGGCTTTGGAGAAATACATGTTTCCTATATAGATCAATATTAAATATTAGGTAATATATAAAAGAGAGCTCTTCCTTCTTCTACAGTTCAGCAAATGGCTTTTTGTATACGGCAGATGGATTAAAAATACATAGGTCATGTAGGAAGTACCAAGCATGTGACAGAACCCTCAATATTAATTATTTTCATATGGAAAGAGGATTGCTTAGTGGAGCTGTGGGTTAATCACAGAATATGAGTAGCTCTGATGTATCTGTGGTGATTCTTCACACAAGAGCAAACTTAAGATAGCAGGGACAGGAGGGGTTGCAGTTACAGCTACATTGTCCTGAAGAGACAATTGAGTGGGGAGGAAAAAATGGCATTTTATTAACAACAGAGCAACGCATATGTGTGATGTTAGTGGGTCTTCAGCACTTTTAGGTGAAGTCTGTTGTTCTCTCAATACCTACTTGTAATGTTTTTTACTTCTCGTTTAATAATTTCTCTTAGAGCTGTAAGCATTTTGAAGGCTGATAATTTGCCATCTTCATCTAAAAACTTGAACAAATGCTTTTCTTTTGGATTTCTTTTGAATGTTAGAAAATAATAGGCTCCAGTATCATCACATTCCTCCAGCTGAAGTCTTGCGACAGGCATTACAAGCATGATGTCAAACTCATTTGGTTCAGATATCTGCAAAGTATAACAATACAACAGTCAGTGTGCAAGCTGGGTTTTATTATTTTAAGAATTTTATACCAGTTGAGGTTTTATCTACAAATGCCCTGGTGTGCTTCTCCTGTATGTTGTGAAATATGAGCTTATTTCTGTGGGTTTCTATTACAAGATCAAAGTGCATTTCAGTAGAGAAGCAATTTACTGATAGCAGTTCACTTCCCAGCTTCCCAGCTCAGTACATTTTCAAGAGACTTTTGGGATTTTTCAGCTGTGTAGAGTAATGCATAAAAGCTTAGTCCTCCTTTCGCACACAGAAGTCAGGTACAAGGAAAAGAGTTAAGTGCACTGTTATGTCTGAAACTAGTTTAAAAATAAAGAAGTGTCCCCGTGTTTGACTTCAGATTGAGCTGGAGCCAGCAAAAAAAGTCATCGCTATTTATGCTGCTCCTTGAAAGCAAACAAAGAATCAAACGAGAACTTATAAACTGAAACTATAAAGTACAACTGGCAAGGAGCCTTTCGTGCAGTTTATACCCGGCTTGTCCTCCGGGTGCTCTGGGCTTCCCTGTGTGCTCTGCACAGGCCGGGGCTGCTGCAGCTTCACAGCCAGTGCTGCTCCGGCAGCCCCTCTTCTCAGACGCACATACGCGCATCTTTCGGGGAGTCAGCTATTTTACTGTTGTTGTTAACTAACGTGGTAACCCCCAGTCTCTCCTCACCGCCGAGGGCCGGCTCACAGCGATTCCAGGCGGCAGGAGCGGCGCGAAGCCGGCTCGCCCGGGCCCGGCGCCCGCACCGCCCTCCTCTCCCGCCCGGCC